GGGGCTGGCGTGTGGGGAGGGAGCTGTCTGCTGCCGGGGAGAGCAAGGGGGTCTGGCAGAGCTGCCGTGGGGAGCCTGGGGGCACCGCGCTTTATGAAAGATTACTTTAAAGTTGAGACACGTTTGATACTTGAAGTCTCTTAGTCAAGTCAGCACAACAGATCCGAATGGATGGGTTTGTAAGAGGAATGTCATCTAGTGGACGATGTCCCTGCTCATTGCAGGGGGGTCGGACTAGATGGGCTTTGAAAGTCCCTCCCAGCCCAAACTATCCTATGATCTGCTGGTCTTAACTAAATACAGTACACATTGCTTTTAGTTTTAGTTTTTCTAAAGTTGCACAGGAGTATCACTGAGGATCCTGAATGGTGCCTGTTGTCTACTTCTCCGATGGTAGATGGGTAATCATAGAATGGCTTGGGTTGAAAGGGACCTTACAGCTCATCTAGTTCCAGGGACCCTTCACACTAGACCAGGTTGCTCCAAGCCTCATCCAATACTGCCAGGGATGGGGCAGCCACAGCTTCTCTGGGCACCCTTAACTTCACTAGGCAACCTGGTCATAGCAGCAGGTTGTTATAAAGTTGAGACATGTCTTCGCTATAACCAGTTATGCACAGTCGGGGCTTCATCTGTTTTCCATGTTTGGGCTGGCTAACAGAATATCCACCTTGGGACAGTAACAAAAGTTTATCTTGACAGCTGGCAGAAGTGTCATTTCACAGAGCCAGGCTTAATTCCAGTTTTCTACTGCTGCATAAATAGAGAAGCAAAACACAGCTTTGCGCAGTATGAGTGAATTAACATACCCTGAATATACGACGACAAAAGAAATGTTAGGAAGTCACTTTCTCACCAGAACTTATAAATTAAAAATACAGACCTCACCATTTTATTAAAACAGTCACTGACAGTTTGTAAAAAAAAAAACCAGAAAAAAAATCTAACATACATAAAAACTTCAGGCCAGAAATATGAGGAACTGAAACAGCATCCCTCCCTCCCACCCCCCGTACAGACACTGTGATACAAACTTCAGCTTGGTTGATTTAAATCGGCTTAATCTTGAAGTGCAGTCCAATAAGACTGAAGACTAGACACTTCAGGTCTTGGACCAGGTAGTAGAACACTCTCAAGCCTTCTGGGTCCCTGCAGGGCACAACAGAAGGAAGTAAAAGTTAGATTGATGTTTTAAGAGAGCAGTTTATAGAACTGACTTATTAAAAAACAAAACGCAAAGCTTATAGGGAGACTTTTCAGAGGTCATTTGAGACATTAACAGATTTGTTTCATTCTACATTCATCGATAAAACATTGTGTACTCCAAGTTCGCAAGTCTTAACCAAATGTGCATTTTTTATCATGAAAGTATGTAGGAACATCACTTTGGATTTAAAAACCATGATAACCAGTCTTTTCAGCTTAGGTGACATACAGAAATCTTGGGTCTCTCAGACACCTTGGTGTGGACAGGCCAACAACAGCTCAGTTCATACTCTGAAGGCACCTAACGGGTTCCTCCAGGGAGGACCGCCGCTCGGTGAGCGTGAAAATACAACTCGTAGTGCCACCATCTAAAAGCATTTGGTACATTACGCTGCAACTCAGAGCACTTGTGTCCCCCGGAACTGATTTGTACTTTGAAACAGTACAAAATACAAGCAGCTAGTAATCAGCAAGTTCTAATATAGACTGTTACATGGAAACAACAGCAACATAAAAAGCAGGGTACGTACTTGGACTGATTTACATCAATGAGCGAACCGATTTTTGACGTGGTAAAGGAGATGTGCTCATCACCGATTACTATTTCAAGCTCCTAAAAATTGTAAGAATACAAAGATTATAGGAATTATTACACATACAGAGGAAAGATTATAGGAACTACTGTTTTATGGTATTGGTTACAGAAATACGTAAGTCCTGAGATGGCGGCTTTTCCATTTTTATTACAACGGTCTTGAATGCAGCAGATCTGTGAACCCTGTTAACTCACACAGCTAAACTGCTGTTTAGGCACTGCTCCGGCTTTAAAATAGCTTTTGTTTCCCTCTTGGCTAGAAACAATACTGACTTGAGGAAGAAGTTCCATTATACTTCTAATGAGCCAAGATATGAAAACTAAAGCAGCAGTTAGGAAGACACCACACACTGACCTGTCGACCAACTCTGTCGGGAGGAGGCCATAAAGCATCATCTTCTTTTGTGATCTCGCTGTCATCGATTATTCTCTTCAGCTCCTCCATCACGCTCTTATGCACATAGGCCTGAAACAACACCCCAACATGGAAAAACAATCCAGACACTGCCCTGGATGCTCCACTCACACAAACCTACAAGGGTTCTGGGCCAGGTTGGACACAGGGGCTTGGAGC